TCGCAACCCTCAGTGTCGCTCCCGTACCGGACCGGGACCGGCAACGGGATTGCAACCCTCGATGTTGCCCCCGCGCCTCGCTCAGCCAGTGAGCGGGAACCGGTCTGTATGTGGGATCCGAACCCTCGGTGGGAGCGCCGCCGCGCTTCCCAAGCGGCGCACTAGCGCAGTGCGCCACCGGGCCGGCCCAAGGGTGGTTATATTTGGACTTAAGTCTCTTAAGTCTATGGACTTAAGTCTTTGGACTATGTCTCTTAAGTCTCTCTCTCTTTATCTCTATCTCTCACTGTATAATGAAACTCAGATACAGAAAACCACTCCAAACAATGTATAGTGTAATGAATTATTATAGGAAAAGCACCTTGTAACCACCATTAGGTGAAGAAACAGAACATTCTTACCCACCCCAGAACCCTCTCCATGTGCCCTATTCCAATCATAACCCTCTTCCTCCTCCCAAAGCAGCCATTATCCTGACATTTCGAGTCAGCTTTTCCTTGCATTTCTATGATTTTCTTACCCAAGTGTATTTTCTTAATAACTATGATTTAGTCTTGTCCACTTAAAAAATTTGTATGTACTTTAAGTTTTCTCTCTTTTTATTTTGGAATAATTTTAGATTTATGGGAGAGTTGCAAAGATAGCACAGAGAGTTCCATAACACCCTTTCCCTTTATGTCAACATCTTATATAACCATGGTATATTTATCACAATTAAGAAACCAATATTGGTGCATTTCTACTAACTAAACTGGCTTCATTCAGATTGCACCAGTTTTTCACCAATGTCTATTTTCTGTTCTGTGGATCCCACATTACATTTAATCATCATGTCTCTTTAGTCTCCTCCAGTCTGTGACAGTTTCTTGGACTTGTCTTTCATGACCTTGGCACTTGTGATGAATTTAAGTCTATTTTAATATACAGGTTCCCCTCTAATACTTTCCTTTCCTTATGACTTAGTTGTTGAAGAACACTCGACGTCTGACCTGTAGAACTCCCAGTCTGGAGTTTGCTTATCGCATACTCACTGTGTACTTCAGCACGTCCCTCTGTATTTCCTGCAGATTGGCAGCTGGATTCAAAGACTGGACTGGATTCAGATTTGAGCCCTTTGGCAAAATCTTGATTTGCTTTTAATGCAGAACAATCCCCCTTTCTGCCCTCCTTTTTCTCCCCATGCCATTGACTTATTGAAGACTGGTTTTCCTTGGAGTAAGCCAGTCTTCCAGGCTTCAGCACCAGCTTCCCTGAGTAGTGGTGGGGTGTGGAACCTGGTTGCTGTGTGAGTCTCAAATACAGGACAAAGTAGGAGGTAGAAAGCAAAGCCCTCATTCCTCTCTCTGCGTCCTGTCCCTTACCTGGTTGTAACTCTATGCCCATTAAAGCAAATTGGGGTGTGTGTGTGTGTGTGTGTGTGTGTGTTAAAAAATAAACTAATAAAAAAAAAAGAAAGATACAACAATCACAACAATACATTGAACTTTGAAAAGGAGAGAACAGAACTGATGTTACCAGAGGTGGGAAAGGGAGAAAGGAGGGGGTTGGCAAGAAATTGGTAAAGGGCCACAAAAAATGATTACATGTGTAATGTAGAATATACCAATTATCCTGATTTGAGCATCACATATTGCACACAGGTATTGGTATTCAACATGGTACCCCACGGGTATCTACAATCATGTTTCAATAAAAAAAGATTGTGTGCTTCTGAAGGGGTAGGGACCATATCTTGTTTGATAGTGTATTTTCTCCTAATGCCTGGAAAGTCCTAGGCCCTCAGTGTTGACTGAACGAACAGTAAGTGAGCATCTTAGTTTGAGGTCTGTGATCAGATGGTTTTGTACATGTAATGAGATCACTGGAGTCTAATGGAAGAGTGTGTCCTGTTGACCTGAGTTGGGGACAAGAGGCTATACAGAAATAGGGGACAAGGGGCACATTACAAAACGGGAGAAGAAAGAATGAGAGACAGGAAAGCAGGTGCTGACCTTTGAGGCAGTTTGGCAAAAAAGAAAGTTGCACATACTTTGACTCCCCTATCCCTGGAGGGTCCTCCCACACCAGGTCTTCCTGATGACTGGAAATCAGCCTGGCCGTAGAGCAAATGTCATGCTCAGGTGTTGCCGCAGTACTGCCCTATGGATGTGTTGACATCCCTGTAGTTGAGGGTGGGGACTTCCCTGGCAGTACATGGGAGATAAGCATTCTGTCTTTCCAGAATAAGATATCCTGGGCCTACATCAACCCCCTCTTCACTCTCTCTCATCCTTGTAGATTGTCTTCTCCAGAAAGCAAGCCTCCTGGGTTAACTTTTAATAATGTGTGAAATCCTCTCTATTTCCTCCTGCTCCCCTGTGGAAAAAAAGGAAGTAAGTCGTTGAGAAGACACTCAAGCTACAAAGAGTTTATCTGTGTATATTTTCTTTTTAGCACCAGATCCCAACCCTTGCTTTAGTATTTTAATGTTTAAAATGCCATGGACCTCCACGTGATAATAGCTGTATTTTTAATATCAATTGATTGAGAAATATATAACAGACTAAAGCCACTATGTGTATACATCATGACAATATTTACATACATTTGGAAAAAACATATGTTGCAAGCACATTACTCATTCATTCTAGACAATGCTTGGATCAGGCAGGGATTTCCAGAGTCCTTGTAATAATTAAGTTACTCCCCTACTCCCCAGCAGTTTGTTGCCCACAAATTGGAAACAATGGCTTGTTTGCTTTGTTCAAAATGGAAATTGGTTTATTGTTTTTCCTGATTATAAAAATAATCCATGTAAATCATAAAATTTTCAGAGTGCTCATCAGGAAAGTATAAAGGGAACAAAAGCCACTCATAGTCTCACCACATAGAAATAACCACTGTTAACTGTTAACACCCTGGTATTTATCTTTCTTTACTTTTTTCTATACAAATTTAGGCATAAATATAGTGTCATTGTTAAGAGTCTGGGTTCTTGAGTTAAACATATCTAGGTCTGTATCTCAGCTCTGCCACTTAAGTGAACTATGGCAAATGATTTAACCTCTTAATGCCTCAGTTCTCTCGTCTGTAAGAAGATAATTATAATAGCCACATCATAGAGTTGTCTTGGAAATAAAATCATTCATGTAAAGCACTTTGCTCAGTGCTTTGCTCATATATATGTTCATATTAAAAGCTCAATAAATGTTATTATATATAATTTATTAACCAAAATAAGATCATATTCTGTGTCCTGTTTTGTAAACTGCTTTTTTACCTAATGGTCTATTGTGGACATTTTTCATGTCAATTTTCTTCTATAACATCATACATGGCATTTCATTGTAGGGATATGTCATAATTAATTTAACCAATTTCCTATTATGGAGAAAGCACTGATTTTTAGACATGTCTCTTCCATACTCTGGTCAGATTTCTAGGTCTTTAATGGTAGGTGAAAGGTTACTAATCAGAAATCCTCCTTTACCTGCAGCCCCTTTTGTGGTGCTGCTTGATGTCCTCTCCCCCAGAGGTTTTTAGGAGTTAGTGGTGCAGACAGCAGGACTGTTCTCAAGCCTCCATTAACCTGGGTAGGGTCCAGGGACCAGGTAGCCAGGTAAGCAGAGTTTGCTCTCTTTCCAAGGAGATGACTGGGTCCGAAGAGAGCGCTTGAGTGTCTTCTCCAAGCAGCTCAGGAAGCAGGTGCTATGGTTTGAATATGTCTCCAAAAGTTCATGTGTTGGAAATTTAATCCCCAGTGCAACAGTGTTGAGAGGTGAGACCTTTA